TTAAAAGTAGAGGAGCTAGATCATGGCGTTATGGTACAGGTATGTGACTATATCTGCTTTATTAAAGGGTGGACTTGGAGGTCTTTTAAATTCAAACTTAGTCATTCATACATCAACTATTATGAACAGGTTGGATGCGAAGTTTTACTGCCGACTATGGGGTTCCCCTTATGGTTGTGTTGTGGACGGCCATGTCTTTTGGTGTGCCTGGAAACATTCCATCTGAAGTTCCTAGGAGGCTCTTTTGTCCTCTCCCTTGGGAGGCTAAATCATTATACCACTGGACTGTGATCAAGGTGCTCTAAATTTCAGTTTGACACCCTTATTTACCTAGGAAGTTATGTAGCACTCTTCTTGAGTTCTGGACTGCTTCTATATGCCGTTCAGAGCAATATCTTGCTCCTTTAGTCGAAGTCTCATAAAAGGGTGGATCTTGTAAAATAAGCAGAAATATTGGTGTGTGTTATCAAAATCCATTGTTTTTGTATATGTTCTTACATCGGTCTGGCAAACATGACATTCTTCACCAAAAAGCTTTTGAAAGTGAGTCATACAGATTAGCTTATGGCACATGAACTTTCTCGTATATTAATTCAGAAGTACAAGGCAAGATATTGTTAGGCATCTCTTTGTGTATTCTCTAAGAGAGAACTGCGAACCAAAATTACGGCAAAATTTTATGTATGTTTATTAAGTTGAGAAAATTCCTATCCTGTCTAATTTAGTTTATGCACTGAATTGCAGGATATGGCAAGGGTCCCAGTGTTGTACATCTTTGCTGCCTTCATTCCAGCTCTTATGATAGCTGGTCTATACTTTTTTGATCACAGTGTTGCTGCACAAATGGCACAACAGAAGGAGTTCAATCTTAAAAACCCATCTGCTTACCATTACGATTTATTTTTGCTTGGAGTCATGGTATAGATCTTCAGGACTCTTTCTATTTTAGAGATATAGGCTTAAATTCACTTCTGCAGGTCTGTTAGTCTGGTTCATTCTTCACCTTGAAATTTATGGTTGCAGACTTTGATATGCGGATTACTTGGAATTCCCCCTTCGAATGGGGTACTTCCGCAATCACCAATGCATACAAGGAGCCTCGCTGTACTTAAGAGACAGGTAGACAATGCAATAATAAGTTCTCTGTTTATTCTTTTCTGCAGGACGGATAGTCCTATTAAGACTATTTGGTCCCTCATTCTCAGTTAATTCGGAAGAAAATGGTGAAAACTGCAAAGGAAGGTATTAAGCAGAATGCAACAAAATCAGAGATATATGGGAAGATGCATGCCGTCTTCGTTGAGATGGATGCTACATCAAAGGTAAATGCTGGAACCAAGCTATAACTGTTGCCAGTTAAGAGTGCATAGGCCAATGTCCATTTATATTATTCACTTAGAAGAAGTTTGTTTATTGTGTTTCAGTATCTCCAACTAGTTTGATATTGAGAAATAGTTGTTTTATGAGAATTTTTTTTATGTAATGCAGCGCACAGCAGATAAGGACTTGGAGAACTTGAAAGCAGCCGTATTGAAACATGACGATGGAGAAGATGGAGCAGATGAAAAATTTGACCCTGAGAAGCACATTGATGCCCACTTGCCTGTCCGAGTAAATGAGCAAAGAGTTAGCAACTTCTTGCAATCTCTACTTGTGGGATGTTGTGTGCTTGCTATACCTGTGATCAGGCGGATACCTACTTCAGTCCTTTGGGGATATTTCGCTTACATGGCGATCGACAGTCTCCCTGGTAATCAATTTTGGGAGAGGGTGCTGCTGCTCTTTATTCCTTCTGGTAGAAGATTCAAGTAAGTCATTTTAATAACTGTTCCTGAAAAGTCGAAACTAAGTCATGAATAGTTCCTCAAAACTCTTGGTCAAGCTCACATTTAACGCATGGCTTAAAGTCTAGGAGTTTAGAAGTTGTTACCTAAATATGCTCGCTTACCACCCTGAGAATTCTAATTCTTCTTGTTAGGTTTTTGTTAAAACTGAGAAATAGAGATTCAGAAAAGTGAAATGTAAAGAGCACTGGAATCCTGACACATCTTTTTGTCGTTGTCTTCATTTTAGGGATGATCATGTCATTGTTATATACATTTGATTATTCAGTGGTAGTTTTTATTTGGTTAAAAGTACCATATTTTGAATGCCATCTTGTGATGGTTCTTTTGACAGGGTCTTTGAAGGGCTCCATGCCTCGTATGTCGAGTTGGTCCCATTCAAATTCATTGTCAAGTTTACAGCGCTCCAGTTCCTGTATTTCTTAATTTGTTTTGGAGTAACATGGATACCTATCGCTGGAATACTATTCCCTTTGCCTTTCTTTCTTCTCATAAGTATAAGAGAGCATGTTCTTCCCAAGTTTTTCCCACCCGAGTATCTTAAGGAATTAGATGCAGCTGAGTACGACGAAATTGCTGGTTGTCCAAAGGTAAATTATTTTTCCTACCTTTCCTGCATCCTCCTGTGTAATTGTAATAGCCAACTTATGCCGGTGGGCTTTTATGTGCTTTTGTGCACATTTTATTTGTATTATTTCTGCTCTAATTGCATTCTTCTTAATACTGGATGCTTCATGTTATTTGTATTCTGCGCGATAAGAAGGAAGGCACATAAGCAATCTTTTGTGGCACTCATCTGTAATATACATTGTTTCCTTGGCATATATTATGTGCATTAAATTCAGCAATTTTCTTGCCACTTCTCCTATGTAGTACAAACAACTGGAGTGTTTTTCGGATAAAAATTTTGAGGATCTCTTAGGATACCGGTTTTCACAAGGGTTAATGTATCAATGTGCAGGAGAGAGAGATACCTGATGAAGAAAGTGACGATTTCTCTGATGCTGAGATATTGGATGAGATGACAACACACAGAGGTGAACTAAAACACAGATCTGTCAGCTTCACTGAAAGGCAGCATCAGGTAAACGGCTTGCCAAAATCGTCCAACATTTGCAGCTTCGTTTTTATTACATTGCGAAAATATTGATAATAACTCCCATTTTTATGTCAGGTTTATCCGCACGAGGCTTCTGGAATGTAATGGCAGCTGATACATTGATGTAAATGTAATGCATTGTGATTCTCAACCAAAGTACACTTCCGGGGAGGTCATTAATTTTCAGGAATCCTCTCGGTTGTTGTGGAAAATGTGCAATAGAAAATACACATGAAAAGAAAGAAGAGAGTAGAAAAGAGCAGGAGATGGAGAATTTAAAAGAAAGAAAAGCAACAAGAGATATTCTATACAAACTTTTAATTTTCTTTCATAGTACAGAAGCTACAGTAATATAGAAGTTTGATGCTGATTGAAAAATGTGAATAATTCTTGATGCTTTTGGTGTTATTATTTCATTTTTGGCAAACGTTAAGATGTAGATGCTTTTGTTGTTATACAAATGGGTCATTTGGGAATCTGGTAATTTATCTTCTAAAACTACTTGATAATTTGAAAATATATCAATAAAAGGTATTTAGTTTAAATGGCTCGAACAGAAAACATGTCGGAGTTAGCATATCATATCATTGCTTTAGCTTTAGCATGTATTTTGTTAATCAAGCAGCAAAGTTTTTTTTCTTCTTTGGAATCACATTTATACACAATGTGTCTTGTTTTGGCAACCCAATGGCAGTGTCATATTATTAATTTTAATGTTAGAACAGAGTACTAACCTCTAACGTCTAAGCATTTCAAAGAGAATCCAACCTTGTTACTGTGTGTTGTATTCTGTCAAAGGGAGGTAAAACCATCTGAAAGCTCAATGATTTTCATAATTGTATTTGCATATCAGGTGTGTCCACATATACATGGCTTTTTATCTTAGTTTGCAAAGTATTTATCCTATTTTCAAATCATATGATATGGTTGTTTCTCAAAAACGAACATTTTGGTGCTAAATGATGATTATAACCAGTGTTTTAAAGGGCGTTTTGTGCGCAAGTCCCGGGGCGAGGCATACCAAAAACGCACCGAGGCATACCAAAAACGCACCGAGACGTACTGGCGGGTCCTACAGACATTCCGGGCGTTCGCCTAGGCATAAGCCCCAACGTTGTGGGCAGTAGGCTTTCGCCTCGCCTCGCCCCGCCCCGTATTAGATAAAACATTTTGCCTCTCGCCCAACGCCTTTTAAAACACTGATTATAACGCCAAGGGCTGAAATTGCAGAACCGTTGCTATGATTGAAGCAAAATACTGAGAGCCTGGGCCAAAATTGTGATCTTAAAGCAATTTAAATATTATTAAATCGAGTAAAAGATTTCAGGTCCTCCATGAAGTTTCTATATTTAATTCAAGGTATAATATGTCAACTTTCATATTTGCTTTTCTCTTCTTTAAGTTTTCGTTCATTTTTGTTTTTATCAAATAAAGGTACTATAAGGAAGATCATTGAATGGAATAGGTAATGTTTTTCACTGATTCAAAATTGATACATGTATAAGATTATAAATACTTGAGAGTTGAGATAATTTTATAATCAATTAAATGCAGGAGTATACATCCCCCCCCC